GTATAACTTCCCATTTATGTGGTTGTACGTGATGTGTAGTTACACTGGTTGTGTATTCATATAAGAATATAGGAAAGATATGTCCAATTCATTCTAGTATCTTTCCCATTCCCATCCTTCTCCCTTCCCTTCATTCCCCTTTGTCTAATCTAGTGAACTGCTATTCTCCCCCCTCATCCCCCCAGCCTATTATGAGTCAGCTTCCCCATATCAGACAGAACATTTGGTCTTTGGGTTTTGGGGATTGACTTAGTTCACTTAGCACGATACTCTCTAGTTTCATCTATTTTGTGGTAAATGCCATAATTTCATTCTCCTTTATGGCTGATTAATATTCCATTGTGCTTATATACCACATTTTCTTTATCCATTCATCTGTCAAAGGACACCTAGGTTGGTTCCATAGCTTAGCTATTGTGAATTGAGCTGCTACAAACATTGATGTGGTAGCATCACTATAGTATGCTGATTTTGGGGTCTATATGTTGAGGAGTGGGATAGATGGGTCAAATGGTGGTTCCATTCCAAGTTTTCTGAGGAATCTCCATACTGCTTTCCAGAGTGGTGGCTTGCACCAATTTGAAGTCCCATCAGCAATGTATGAGTATGCCTTTCCCCTCGAATCCTTGCCAACATTTATTGTTATTTGTATTCTTGATAATTGCCACCTGGTGAGTTCTTTTATCCTTAAGGAAGTCGGATGTGAATGTGAGTGGTGTGAGACCAGTGCCTCCAAGTTCCATGAGATAAAAATCTAGTGCTCTCATGATGAGTGAGAAACATCTGAGGATCTCTTCAGTTTCCTTCTTATCATCTGTGTGTGTGATGGTTTCAGGGGAAGTCTCTGGTTTCCCTGTGAATTTTGAAATTGTTGACATTATAATTGGTTGTACCATTTAGTTTCCATATGACCATGTAAGTCATTTAACCTTGTTAAACTTCACTTTACTCATTTAAAAAATGGAATAATAAAGGTCTCTACTTTCCTGGGTTGTTGTAAGGATTAAAAAAAATTGCATGTAAAGAGCTTTGCTCAGTGCCTGGCACATACTAAATACTCAATAAATATTAATAATGCAAAACAGAAGAGAATAAGAACACTAAAGGTTATGCTCCCAGATAAGAACAAGTAGTCCTGATTGGATGATTAAGTATTGGAAAAATGTTACTAATCAGAAGTTGGAAGGTGGGAGGACTGATCAGGATAGGGCTGGGAAAGGAGATAGCATGAAGGCCAAGTTGTCTGTCTCCTTTCCCTCAAGCCTAAGAAGCCTGCTGAATGAACGGGTTTGGATTGTTGGGGTCCCATTGGCCACACTCTCTCAGGAATGCCCTTTGTATTTGATTTTGATTTTTTTGTTCCCTACATAAATTTTGATTATAATTTGGCTTGCCTTATGGGTCTGCAGGCAGGACAGCATGCATGTGCCACACTGGTTTGTGAACTCTTCTGCAATCCCTTTGTAAGATGAATGAGTTGGCATTCTGATGTTATACATCATTCCCTGGGAATTCTGGCAGCAAAGTAAGAGAACTTTTGTTGTCTTGCTGACCATGTGCTTTATGGGAAACTTCTGGAACTTTTTCACAAAAGCTTTGGCACCAAGGAATTATTGCAGAAAGCTGATTGCCAGATTTACTGAGAGCTTTCTGGTTGTCAGATACTGTGCTAAGTTTTGGGGATACAGCCATGAATAAGAGGGACACCATCCCCATCTTGTGGAGATTACAATCCAGCAGGTCAGAGAGCTGGTAGGCAAAATCATCACAAACAGTGAATTGCATCATGTCAAAGTAGAGTAGGAAGGTTGAACTGAGTAGAAAGACAGGGGGTTGGGTGTCATGTGGCAGGTAGGGGTTGGCATAAGAAAGTTCCCTTCTCAGTCTTCTTCTGAGATCCTTGGCACAAGTGAGAGTGGGAACCTCACGTTGGACTTGTGGGTGCTTCTCTGTTCTTTCTTGTTGTGAGTAGTGGGTGAGGTAAGGGGAAGGTACATCTTGGATATCTTCTTGTCCACTCTACATGTTCTATGGAACTTCCTGAGACTTGTGCCCTGCATGGCACCCAAGCTTGGTTCAAGCTCATGGGGACCCTAATGGCTTTATTCCAGGATTGCCATGATGGAGGGAGAGGAAAGAGCATAGTGACACAAAATCCCGCAGGATGGTTTTCATTTTTCAAATTTGAGCATTTAGTGTTCTGTGAGTCTTTCCTTTTGTGTAGTTGGGAGTGTGTAGTTTGGAGCCATTATCCAACTCTTCTTTGACTTTTTCAAACAAAGAAACAAACACCTGGAACACACTCTCTCACAGGAGCCTAACAACCCAAAGGGGTTGGAAAGAAAAACTGGCTGTGTGGTCTAGATTAAATGATGTGTGTTTATTCATAATTTGCGTTTCCAGTCTGCTAGACTCCTCGCTTACGTAGAGCACGGAAAGAATGCCATCGGGTCCAACCGAAGTCTAAACATGCCTTTGAAGTTTGGAAGTGAGTCATGAGGGGAGCCTGGAAGTGTGGGATTCCTTTGAAATAGTGTGTAACTGCTGCTGTTATAAACAGGGCCCACTCAGCACGCACTGACCGGCACAGGATCCATTTCTGTAGTAACTTGTGGCTTCACCACATGCTGAACAATACACTTGCTCCTTCTGTCACCAGCCTTACTTTCTCTTTTTTTTCTGCCCATCAAGACGGTCCCTTCGTTTAGAGAGGGACAGACAGTGAGAACTCCGTGCTGGTCCTGCCTGGAGCATGCACCCCATGCCCTTCCCTCCTTACTGTTGGGGTGCTAATTCTTCCCCTCCACTCTTGGTTTTCTCTTACCTTCACTCCATAAGCCTCAGGTGTTAGTCAGCTTTTTGTCACTGTGACCAAGATACCTGATCAGAACAACTCAAGGAGGAAAGGGTTATTTTGGTTCATGGGTTTGGAGTTTTAGCCCATGGTTGGCCACACTGTTCTGTTGTATATACACAGGGGGCAGAACATCATGGCAGAAGGGTGTGGCAGAGGAAAGCTGTTCTGCTCATGGCAGCAGGAAAGCAGGGAGAGAAGGAGAAAGAGAAGATCCAGGCACAGAAACAGTCCCCAAGGGCATGCCCTCAGGGACTCACCTGCCTATAGTCCTATACTACCTGCTGACAGTTACCACCCAGTAGTCCAACCAGCTATCAACAAATAATTCCAGAAAATGGATTAATCCACTGATGAGGTCAGAGCCTCTATCACTGCCTAAAAGTCCAACCTCTGAACCTTGCTGCTTTGGGGATCATGCTTCTAACACATGAGATTTTTCTGGGGACATACGAGGACCAAACCATAGCGCCTTGTTTGCTTAGGGAAGCCTGTCTGGCACACCCACTAGTCTGATGCTCCCAGGGCCACCTGTGTTTCCTTAGTATGTGTCTCACTTACAGCTTCTTGATGGAAACTGATCTTCCCTGGGAAACCGGATTTCCTCCTCAGCGGGATTAGGTCTTCCTGCTTATGGCTGCCCAGTGCCTGACGCGCTTAATAGGGGCTTGGTAAATATTTGTTCCTTGTCTGAGAGGCGTGGCCTCTCCCCTCCCATGGCCAGAGTCATGTTTCCCAGGGCCAGATGTGGACTCGGAGCCCCTGTGTTAGTCTACCTTTACCTGGAACCACAGTCATTGAGCTGGAAGGCTCACTCTAATAACAACTCCTCCTTTTCACTTGGGGCAATGGTATTAGTTTGCAAGGGTTGCTGAACAAATACAGACTATGCATCCCCAGTCTGAAAATCCCCAATTCAAAATGCTCCAAAAAATAGAAAACTTTTTGAGCATCACCATGATCCACAAAGAAAAAAAATTCTTCACCATGAAACATTTGTTTCATGCACAAAATAATTAGTAACGTTGTATTAAATTATCTTCAGTCTATGTGTGTGAGGTGTATATGAAATAGAAATGGATTTTATGTTTAGATTTGGGTCCTATCCACAAGATATCTCACTGTGTATATGCAAATATTCCCAAATAAAAAAAATCAAAATTGGAAACATTTCTAGTTTCAAACATTTCAGACAAGGAATCCTAAGTTTGTATCACAAAGTGAACTGGGTGATTTAGATAATGAAAATTGTCTAAATATTCTAGAGGCTAGAAGTCAACATCAAGATGAGTTCCTTCTGACAGCTGTCCAGGAGAATATGCACCATGCCTCTCCCTTAGTGATTTGATGGCAATCTTTAGAGTTTGTTGGCTTGTGACAGCAAAAATTTAATCTTTATATGGTACTTGCCCTGTGTGTGTGCCTGTGCACAATTTTTCCCATTTTTTTTAATGTACTGGGGATTGAATTCAGAGGTGCTTAACCACTGAGCCACACTCCAGCCCTTTTTATTTTTTTTATCTAGAGACACCTCTTGCTAAATTGCTTAGGGCATTACTAAGTTGCTGATGCTGGCTTTGAACTTGAGATCCTCCTGCCTCAGCTTCCCAAGCTGCTGGGATTATAGGCATGCACCAACATACCTGGCCAATTTTTTTCTGTTCTTGTAAGGACTGTAGTCATTGGATTAGGGTATTAATGATCCTAATGACCTCATCTTCAAAGACTCTTTTCCTTAAAAATTTCACATTCACAGGTACTGAGGGTTAGGACTTCAACATATTTTGGAGGACCCAATTCAGCCCACAACTGCAGCTAAACTTATAATATTTAATTCATCCTCCCTATTGAAAGATGGTCTTACATAGTCACCATTTACAGCGCTTGGAGATGGTGTTATTTTCCCAGGGATAGTCTTTATTTGTTGTCTTCTGTGAGTAAGATAAGAACTGGAAGACAGAGAATGCCTGGTTATAAATTAATAGCTGGTCAATAAGCTCAGAGTTGGAGCTTGTTGGCTAAGTTTGGAAAATTGACCTTACCTGATGCTTTTGACTGACATTAGACGCACTTGGCTGCGTAGCCTCGAAGAAACCCAGTCTCATGGGTCCATTTATTCTTATGGATCAATAAACATTTAGAAAGCGACCTTGTCAACAATTTAATTAATATTACCCAACCTTTGAAATTAGAAATAATTCAGGTTTTGCCAAGTATTCTCTGCGTGGCTGTAGGCAAGTCACTGAACTGTGTGGATCTCAATGTGCCATCTGTAAAGTTCCAGCGCTGGGTCAGGTAACCATTGGCTAGAAGGTGGAAGAAACTTTCTTTGGATTATGTGGTTCTTTTAATGTTGAAGGCAGAAAAGTCCTCTATGGAATTGGGCTCTGCAAGTATAAAAAGAGGTTAATTATTGAAATAATTTTTTATTATCCCCAGTAGATATGAGCTGGATCTAGCCTTGGCACAGAAGAAAGAGATGATTCTTGCTTTAGTCTACTTCTGTGTACTGAACATCTACCCTTTGCAAGAGATGGATCATCACACAGTAGGTCAGCTACTGCTGACAGGGCCTTGTTCCCAGCTCACCCCAGTGTCACTCCTATGCAGTGACAATTTGCATGGGTCAAATGTGTTGTCTTCATTTTCAGAATAATTGAGTTTTTCAAAGAGTTTTTTTTTGGGGAATCTGAGAATTGAACTCAGGGCCTTGTGCTTGCTAAACAAAAGCTCTACTTCTAAGCTAACCCCCTAGGTCTGAAGAGTTATTTCTGTAAGTATCTCATAAGATGTTTAAGCACCAGAGTGTTGGTTACTTGTTTCTTGTACAATGTAGCCCTCAGGGTGTGATGCTTGCCCTTTATAATCTTGGCATTAAAAATGCCGGCTATTAATAGAATCTTGAGTATAAATAGAGATTTTTAGGTGTCCTCATCTTCTATTGTATCACCTGTTACAATGCTCATTGTATCATAATCCTTTCTGTTTTTTTTTTTTTTTTTTTTTTGCCACCAAATTGTGACTCTCGATTGTGGAGAGAACATAAAATAGACCAGATGTCTTAACTGAGTTTGGATAAATCAGTCATCACCTTCTATTTTCCACGAAGAAGGAGGCCTAGCAGCCTCCTTCACTTTCCATTCCATCTTTCCAAAGCAAACAGAACAGAGATGTCCAGGTCTGCCAACCATCCTGGGCCGGCCCTGGGGGTATTCAGTTTTAAGGATGTGATTACTGTTGCTGTGAACAGAAGGGGAAGTCAGACTGTCAGCACTTTGTCTCAAAGACTGAAAACAAAACAAAAAACAAAAACCCCGAAACCAAAAACAAAACCACCTCAGTAGGAAGAGAACCAAGGAGCCCACTCATTTCTAGTGTGACGTTCTAGAGGAGCACAGACCCACATAGGAAGCTGGAGAGACAAGCTCTTGATCCTGTAGCCTGGCCTTCAGATTCAAGAATTCTTAAGTTCACATTTAAATAGGAAGTGACTTTAGAGTCTTTTTTTTTTTCTTAAAAGAAGAAGAAGGAGGAGAAGGAAGAGGAGGAAGAGGAGGAAGAGAAGAGAAAAAAAGAAAAAAGAAAAAAATTGCCTCCTTACCAAGGTCATTATGAGACTGAGTGGATTTTATAGTCATAATAACAGTCAAACATCTAAGTGTCTTACCCAGATATGAGAGCCAGATGAATAAAAGGCCTGTTGTGACACTGATTCCCACTGATTCCAAGGGTGCCACTAAATGCAAGCCAGGCCAGTACTGGTGGAGTTAGGAGGAGAACTGGAATCAGGCCCTATGGGACTCCCAGAAATGAGAGAAACAGTTCCTCAAACCACTTTTAGGAAGAACGTGAATAATAAAAGGGACAGTGTAAGTGCCACCATGCAATTGTTAAATGATGCGATGGGGAGCCTAAGTGTGTGTGCACGTGTGTGTGTTTGTGTGTGTGGGGGGCTGAGAGCCTGGTCTCCACAGGCCTTTCTGGACCTGGTTCTTTCTTTGCCTGGCGGCGGCCACGCTGGGTGAGAAGAAAGAAAAGCCCTGTTAGGATTAAGGGGGTGAGAGACGGGCCTGAAGGATGGTTGGGATTTTCAGCAGATGGGACTCCAGACAGAGGGAAGGAACACGAAGAGGGAGCCGCCTAATGATGGGAACGCTTTCTATGGAGGTGCATTGCTTGGGCCGAGGCTGGGACCTGGGAGCATGTCATTTTGGGAACTTTAGACTTGGTCTCATGGCACAGTCCCTCAAGAATTTAGGAATAGGTTTCAGTGAGTCTCAGAGGTTTTATTTGAAACTCCAAGTATATGTGCACCTTTCAGTTACCTGTTGTTGCACTGAAAACCACTTCAGAGATGACTTAAGAGGCTTAAGACGGCAGCTTCCCATTTCTTATGATTCTGCAGTCTGGTCTGGTTTAGGAAATAGAAACTTGCCCCAGGACCCCAGCCTTCCACTGGGGTCCTTCCATCTAATGTCAGAGGCCCTTCATGATTAGTGCCTGCAGCCTCGCTGAGAGTTGAAAGTGACAGCTAAGCCCATCAAGGGGTTCCCCACTAAAGACCATCTTTGGGGACATTTTCACAATTCCCCTTGAGACTACCACTGCAGTCAAGTACAGGACTTGTACAAAAGAGTAGACATCTCAGAGGCCAGTTTTGACTCAACATGACTAATGACTTTCTTTTTTTAAATTGATTTTTTAAAATAAATGATAGCAGAATGCATTACAATTCATATTACACATATAGAGCACGATTTTTCATATCTCTCTCTGTATATACAGTATGTTCACACCAATTTGTTTCTTCATACTTGTACTTTGGATAAAGATGTCCATCACATTCCACCATCCTTGCTAACCCCCTGTCCCCTCCCTTTCCCTCCCACCCCTCTGCCCTATCTAGAGTTCATCTATTCCTCCCATGCTCCCCCTCCCTACCCCACTATGAGTCGGCCTCCTTATATCAGAGAAAACATGCAGCATTTGTTTTTTTGGGGATTGGCTAACTTCACTTAGCATTATCTTTTCCAATTCCATTCTTATAGCTATAGCTTTCAACTATGAACTTGGCCGTAAGCCCGGGAGTCCTCTACTATTAGATGAGATTAAATAGAGGATGAATAATGGTGACTCAGGGATTCTGTAGAAGTAAATATTTCACTCCAAGAGTCTACTGCACTGGAGGGTGGTCTTGTGATGGCTGGTAAGCAAAGGGTCCTGATCTACTTGTGCTTCAATACACAGAGCTATCGAGATGGAGAAAAGCTGGGGAGGGGGAAGGTGCGGCAAGAACAGTGCACTTGGTAACTGGAAGTGTGGAAAATATCCATTTCCCGCTGGTGAGAGAGGGGTCCTTTCTCTCCAAGAGTGCAGGCAGAGAGAAAGAAAGTACCGTTTTCTCAATCGCTCTTTAGTTTCTGCTTCCCCAATCCATGTGCTGTTTACATGTTCTAGCGAGAGAAAGGAAGAATGAATATGTCAGACTTAATGCTGATTAATGCTGGTAATCAGCCTGGCAACAGCTGCTGGCTTAACAACTTCATTAGCAGCCTTGGAAGTGTGTTTCCACTTCTTCTGCCTTACTTAACGGCAACCTAATTTACATTCGACCTCTTCTTCTGCGTTGAAGACATTCATCAAGGATACATTAGACACCAGAGGAGTCATCGACATCCATGTTAAAGAAAAAAGATGCCCTGTGGGTTACCACGAAGAGATTCTCACCTACAATTTCCCGTTTTAGCTTGGGATGGTAGTGTAGTGGATACTCCTTGTTGCAGACATGGAACAGATTACACTGCAGTTGAAACGATAGGAAAAGTGTTAGAAGACTGGAAGTGAAAATTCTGGGAAGTGATTTATCTTTAGGGCCTGAGTTAATCTCTTTCAACTTTGGGTCTGGAAAATCATGGATTTTGTTTTCTATACAAGACTCTCTACAGCACCAGCCAAAGGGAATGTAATTACCGTCAGGTAATTTTAGTGTGGAAAGAGTTATCGATAGCACAAGTTACATTCAGAGACATTTCTGAAAACTTGACTTGATTAAATTGATTGATCAGAGTTCAGAGTATATTTTAGGTTTCTTTCTAATGCTGCTATTTATAGTTGCTCTATGGACTATGCTAAAAATAAAAATATGAAATAAAAACTTCTTTGCCAGAAGTAAAACCCAAAATCCATAAATGGGATGGAATCAAACTAAAAAGCTTTTTCACAGCAAAGGAAACAATCAAGAAAGTGAACAGAGAGCCTACAGAGTATGAGAAAATCTTTATCAACTGCACCTGAGATAGAGCTTTAATCTCCAGGATATATAAAGAACTCAAAAAACTTAACACCAAAGCAAAACGAAACAAATAACTCAATAAATAAATGGGCAAAGGAACTGAAAGGTATTTCACAGAAGAAGAAATACAGTCAATCAAAAAATACATGAAAAAATGCTCAACATCTCTAGCAATTAGAGAAATGCAAATTAAAACTACACTGAGATTACATCTCACGCCAGTCAGAATGGCAATCATCAAGAATACAAATAACAATAAATATTGGCAAAGATGTGGGGAAAAAGGTACACTCATACATTACTGGTGGAACTACAAATTGGTGCAACCACTCTGGAAAGCAGTATGGAGATTTCTCAGAAAACCTGGAGTGGAACCACCATTTGACCCAGTTATTCCACTCTTTGGCATATACCCAAAGAACTTAAAATCTGCATAAGATAGTGACACAGCCACATTAGTGTTCATAGCAGCACAATTAACAATAGCTAAACTATGGAACCAAACTAGGTGCCCTTTAATGGATGAATGGATAAAGAAAATGTGGTATATATACACAATGGAATATTACTCAGCCATAAAGAAGACTGAAATTATGGCATTTGCTGGTAAATGGATGGAACTGGAGATTATCATGTTAAGTGACATAAGCCAATCCAAAAACCAACCAACCAACCAACCAACCAAAGTCCAAATGCTATGTGGATGCTGACTCACACTCACAATAGTCCAAATCTCTCTGCTATGTGGATGCTGACTCACACTCACAAACAGAGGGGTAGAGGGAGGAATGGAAGTTCACCAGACGGGACAGGGGGAATACAGGGAAGGGATGGGGGATGGAAATGGGAAAGACATTAGAATGAATTGGACATAACTTTCCTATGTTAATTTATGAATACACAACCAGTGTAACTCCATATCATGTACAATCACAAAAATGGGAAGTTATACTCCAAGTATGTATGATATGTCAAAAATACATTCTACTGTCATGTATAACTAAAAAGAACAAATAAAAATTTAAAAAAGAAAAAATCTTCTTTATGTAAAAGGAAGCTGTCTAAATAGAAGGGAAACAATAATTGCTTACTTTGGGGGTAAAATTGTCAATAATTTATGTATGATTTATTTATAAAGAGGACTATGTCACTGTCATTGTAAAAACTGAGAAACAAATGCAAAAAAAAATGAGTCTGAATTCAAAGTTAATAGTGTATGTTTTTAGTATGAATTTGTACATTATTGCCCATGTAAATTTGAGAATAATAAATGATCAAATTCATATTATTAATAATGATAATGGTGAAAATGATTTGTTTAGTTATTATGCTACTTTACTTTGTTTAACCCTCAAAATAATAGTATAAGATACATACTATAACTTCTCCATTTGTAGATAAGGAAATGGAGATTCTGAGGTGAGTTAAATTTGTAGATTATTTGAGCAAGAAAAATGTAGTAGAACTAGGCAGTATTCCAGTTGAAGTTAAGTTAGAATATTCTGACCTGCCTCATGAAAAGGTGGTATTTATGGCCAGAGAAAAGGAAATAATATATGAAGCAACCCATTTGGCTGCAGTCACAACATTCAACCTTATATGGGCATTACGTGATGAGGCATTCGCCTTTTATAGACATGATTAGACAATTGGCAGCCTGTGATTGACTGAAGCTCTATGGCTGTGATTGGCTGAGACTCAGTTATCTGTAGCAGAAATATATTCTTGGGTTAGTCTGCAGTTTACTTACACACACTAAGTTAGAGTTCAGTTTCCTACCTACAGGGGCAGCCTTGGGCCAAATTTTATCATGCAAGTACAGAAACAGACTTCGGCCAAATTCATCAATTTAATAGGCTCCAATTGAGGAATTCCCATTGTCAAAACTACATTTTTAATGAGTCTACTTCACTTACTTTTCACAGAGTGCCGGGTAATCTCAGACTTGGATAAATTCCAATGAGGAGCACCTTGGTAGACATTTTCAGAAAGGAGGAAATAGAAGCACTATAATATTTTGTCTTTCTTTCTAGAGAAAGAAATGAGGGCTCAGAGGAATCAACTAATTTTTAAAAAATAATATTAGTTGACAAAAATTAGTTAAAACTTCACAAAAGCAGCTCTCTATATTATGCTATATTTTATTTCTTTTGCCTCTGAATTTTACTCTGGTGATAAAATATTTTAAACTTTCTAATGAGATTCCCAAGATCATATGGTCCCTTTCAAATAAAAATGTCTTATGCCATGACTTCACAAATTGAGTGACTGTGTTCTATTGTGCAGTGAATCAAAGGAAGACTGTCAGTGTTTGTTAAACACAAAGACATTGAGCTGAGGAAGTTACTTCATGTAAACCTCATGAACTCTGTGAGCTAGGTGTTAGTATAGCCATTTTTTTTCCAAGCTAAGGAAGGAATTCAGGAACATTAAGTGCCTTAACAAAAGTCCTGCGTGTTATAAAGTCAACCCAAGTCTGTCACCTTCTCTTCTTAGAGATAGATTGATGATTCCCTGAAAAATGATGGAAATCAAAACACTTTCCAAAATAAGCAGATTCTTTATAGTTGATTTTCCAATTTTCTTTGTTCTGATGCCTCATTCCTAAGATTAGTTTTTGACATAATCAATATACATTCCAATTTAAAGTCTGCTGCTGCAAAGTTTGCAAAACTGCATTGGTGTGTCATTACATGAACTGCCAGGCTAATCACCGTAGCCTCCTAAGTGTCCAGATTTTGACTTTGTGTTATGGCAGTAGACACACAGCTGCAAATCAGTAGCTACAGACAGCTTCATAGGATGATTCTTAACATTTCTTCCAAACAAGAGAGAAGAAAATCAGCAAACTGATGAGGAGTCGAGTCAGCACATTTTGTCTATTCAGATTCAGGAAGTTGGAGTGCAGGATCAATTCTGAAAGCAGAATAACTCAAAAGTACTAGTGACTCATATTCCCATGCAGATCTGCTCCTCTATTGTCACTTAAGTTTTGGTGTCTGGTAGCATTTTTACACTGTGTGACTAGTCTGGGGTGTTTGGGATTGGCTGTAGGAATGAGTCCTCATATCCTCTTAGGGCCTGGAGCCAGATACCTTAAAACACCTGGTCCCCAAATCTGTTCTGATTTTGACTCTAAGCTTTGGATAGGTCCTGAGTCCTTAAGACCACTGTGAAGTGGTCTGCAGTCTGAATGAGCATTGGGAACTCTAGTCCTTTGTCCTGCTGACAGTTAGGGAAGCAGGGACCTTTTTACTCTACTCCATACCTTGGCATTTCCATGGTTTCTGAGCTGGTTTCTCCACGCATCAGTCTCTTCCTCAGACTCAATCTGCATACAGAGCTGTGATACTCCCTTCTTTCTGAGCTTGTTTCAGAGACTCTTGGAGGCAGCCTGTCTCCTGGGATGTATAGTGCTCTGCTCTGTCCTCATCTTCATGTTGCTCCCAGATCAGGAGAGAGTCTTCTGCTTGGACTTGGAGTCCTCAACCAGGTACCAACATCACCCCACAGATGCCATAGTAATGGTACAGGGTAATGAGACAGTTGGGGACCACTAGAAGGTCAAAAGGGCAGATAAGGGGCTGGGATTGTGCTCAGATGTAGAGCGCTTGCCTAGCACATGTGCAGCTCTGGGTTCGATCCACAGCACACATAAAATAAATAATTTTTTTTTAAAAAGGTATTGTGTCCAATACTAAAAAAAAAAAAAAAGGCAGATAAGTTCCAAGGTCTTAATCCATAATCTGTTATCTATTAAATCTTTCCCTACCCTTCCATTCTTTCAATACTATAAATGGTATGTGTCTTTCCTTACCTTCCTATTCTTATCAGATTGACCATGAAGAACAGGTGCATAATGGTACCATGATGTTTTCATCATGCTATCATTGCTGACTGCTGATCTGTATCTTCTGCAATGAAGAGACACTTAAAAAAATAAAACATACTCATGGCCAGTGGAGAAAAGCAGACCCTTGCCTACCCCAGCAACTTTATAAAAGGCTGGCGACTTGCTTCATTTGGGGACTGATCTGCTTTCTCTCTCAATCAGTGGTGGTCCCCCTCTCCTTGAGGTGAAACCTCTTTTCCCAAATGAAAGACTTTCCTTAATATTTGTGCTCCTTTGACTCAATATCTTTTTATCTATTTTTTAAAAAATATCACTGAGTCAGAAGTAGTGGCATCAATAGCAGAAAAAAAGAGTTGTTTTTTTTTTTTTTTAAGATGGGCTTGATTGAAATATTGACTCCAATATGTTCACCTGGCTTTGAGACGCTTGGCAAGTCTCAGTTTCTTCATCTGTAGAATGAGGTGAATAATGGGGGTAAAGAACTATTGTAAGGTCAGAGCTAATGAATATAAAGCACATGGAATAGTACCTGGCATGAAATAGCCCTTTAATAATTCAGAACATTTATTAAATCTTTCCATGAACCATCTGAACAGTGGAAAGCAAAATGTAGTCTGGACTTTTTTTTTTTTTTTTTTTTTAGCCTTTGAGATACTTGGTAATAATGGCAAAGCAATGAAATCAGCACTGGAGTTCTTGTGTCTTAGCACCAGTGATCTTTAGAGAATGCCTGTCTGGCTTGGATGAGGTCCCACCCTTCCCAGGTAATTTAAAGGCAGATTCCTTAAGGTAGTGAAAATCCTCCCTTTAGTCCTGTAAATTGAGCTGTAGCCAGGAAAGTCCATGGAAACCTTAGGAACTTATTGGGAAGTTAAAAATTTAGACTGAAGAGCTGGAAGGGTTGTCAATTTCTCTGAAGGCTCATTAGACAGCAGAAGAGCTTTACAAATGAAGGGCCTGAAGCCCAGAGTCTCAGGTCATCTAAAATTAGACACTTGAGAATGAGCTATGCCAGCAGGAAGGGAGCAAGGTGGCCCAATGACCTTTCCACTTCTAATTTCTGTGAGTCTATGGAAAGGTCTATTACTTCTCTGTATTTACTAGTGTATTTTTTTTTCCTTATCCTTCTTAGCATTTTCACCCTTGGGTATATTTATAGATTCTACTGTCAAAGCTTAAAATTATAACAAAAATGCCATTTCATACCCTATGAGGTTTAGTCCATGTTTAATTCCATCTTGCACATTTCTCTTTCTAGAAAGCAAAGTTCCCCCATCCATGTTGCCTTATTTCTGTTGCTATTTTTGAGTTACATTTACAGTAGAGTTAATCCATTTTTGATAAGGAATTTAATATGCATGGCCAGGTCAACTAGTAAACTTTACGGTGTGAGTACTGCTGAAAATTATGAAGAATATTTCATCTTAGGTTATTCACTGGATACAAAAATGGTCCAGATATAGAAGGGAAACTTTGCTATA